CTCCACGGTGCGTTCCCTCCACGGTGCGTTCCCTCCACGGTGCGTTCCCTCCACGGTGCGTTCCCTCCCCGGTGCGTCCCTTCCACGGTGCGTCCCCGCCACGGTGCGTCCCCTCCAGGGTGCGTCCCCTCGACGGTGCGTCTCCTCCTAGATACCTTCTAATAACTCTTTGGTGCGTCCAACTCCAGTGCCGGATGGGGACGTCGTGGTGGAGAGTAGGCCGTCAGGTGCAGCACCTATTGGGGGTTCGTCGAATCATTTCGGTCGTTCTACCCAGGACCCGCGTTTGTAGCAAGGTCGTGCTGGGAAGGATGCAATTCAAGATCTTTAGTATATAAAGCGCTCCAAAGTGCAAGGGTGACGGCCTCTAGAGCCATGAGTCCGAGTACCGTGTATTTGATATAAATCACCTTAACGATGCCGATCTCCTGGCGGGGTGTGCTAAGCATGAGGACAAGGCCCAGTGTCATCATCAAGTCAATCACGTCGGGTAACCACACGTTGTTGACCAAGGAGTGTTTGTCTGTGTGTGATCTGAGCTTCCAATGGCATACATCAATGTCGGTAAAGGGTGGTATGGGTCCAGTGTATTTAGTTAAGTCGGAAACCGATGGGGTATCCACACCATCTCTGTCAAGCACGGTCGCCTTGAGACAGATCTCTGTTCGTACCATATCAATCACTTGACCCAACGGCGTACTTTGCGGTTTGATCGCCGCTGGCAAAGCAGCAATAATCCCAATTTCACGGGCAGGGATACTCGGATTCCTCTGCTGTACAACCTCATCCCACGACTTACCACTGGAACCCGCCCTGCAAAACAAATGAGGAACTTCACGCACATATTGACACAACCTGACAAACTCCGCTCGCCACACAGCGAACCCTTGACCAATTGACTCTTCGGTCAACCACTTGTCACAAACCCCAGCCAATAGTGGGTTACGCATCTGAGGAATCGAGGAGGTCATGCCAAATTGAGGGGTCTTCCACATCAATTCCAACTCGTCAGTGCCTCCGAATATCGTACCCAGACGAGTACTTGCTGTGGAAGTAGAACGCTTGTCTCCCAATGACGAAGTGGAAGTGGTGCCTTTGCTACCTGTCATCTGACTACCTGTCATCTGACTACCTGTCATCTGACTACCTGTCATCTGACTACCTGTCATCTGACTACCTGTCAGCTCACTTCCCGTCAGCTGACTACTACTTCCAAACAGCTGGCTGCTATCCGTGGCCTCTCTTTTAGTGTGGCTAATGCTCGAAGAGGTGGCCACAATAGACGAGGCCGAAACGCTAGGAGGTGGAGCATCCAGGCCTCCTTGCTTGTAGCTGGCGTGACTGCTTGAACCGCTCCGCCGACTTACCCCGCTCTGGTTGCTCCCGGTTTGACTTGTCGTTAGTAGTCCCGAGATGCCATTGCCGTTGCCCCGAGGGTCTCGTACCGCAACCGCCGTCTGGACGTATTCCGGAACGTGGCTATTGCTTGCGCCTGACTGTCCCAACTGAGACATGGCGTTGCTGGGGACCAGACTGGACGTGACCGCGCTCGAAGATCCGGCTTGGCGAGACGTTGACCGCCGGGAGCTGGTCCCGATACAGTTGGACCCACTGGAGCTTCCACTGGAGCTTCCACTGGAGCTTCCGCTGGAGCCGCTGGAGCTTCCGCTGGAGCCGCTGGAGCTTCCGCTGGAGGAAGGGGCCGGAGGCGGAGGTTTGGGCATCATCTTTTCAACACGTGTGAAGCCATTGAGGATGTCCTTTATTCGAGAGCGCACCGTTTGCATATCGGGCAGTCTGAAGAATGACGTGCTCTCACATCGTTTCTGACGGGGTGAGCCAATGCCAAGCCCCGATTGTGCGTTGCGGGGCTGCTTGGACCCTACCTGTTCGACTGGCGGCGCATCGCTAATCGGGACGCGGTGCACAAATTCGTCCTCCGACGGCGCAGCCGACGACGTCAGTTGCACCGATGACGTCAGTGGCGCCGATGACGTCAGTGGCAACGATGACGTCCCCGTCCGGCCGCCGCCGATGCTCACCGAGGAAGACTCAAGCTCGAGGAAAGTGGACTCTGGCGCAGACGGCCGTAACGGCGGAATACCCAATCGGGCTGCCTTGGTCCGAAGTGCGGCTTTCAGGCCCTGAAACTGATCTCTGTCACTTTGGTCTGTTTGATGTTCTGTTTGATGTTGCTGGATGAAGTTGAGAGCGGCCTCTGCGTCTTCTGATCCGCTCTCACTCGAGGAACTCTCTACGCAATACTCAATCGTCAAGTCGCTGCAGCCACTTTCCGCAAAAGACACCTCGTCTCGAGAACTTGTTGCCTGCTCATCAGGACTCGCCGCCGCCGCGACAAAGGGAGTCGGACTCGTTGCGTTGCCGAACGTGTGCGGGTCCTCAGGCTCAGCGACCGCTCCGGAAGTCGCACGGAGGCTGAGCTGTTCGCCACTCGAACGAATCTGACTACTCATTGCTTCAAAGCATTGCCGCTCGTGAGCCAACTTGTCCCGCTCCAGACGCAAACGCTCGCGCTCCAACTCCATTTCCGCCTCCAGCTGGCGCGCCCAGAGTCGCTTCCGCTCTTTGATGCGCAGGCGTGCTCTCTCTTGCTCGTGTAGACGCGTATCATACACGCGCGTGTCGTGAATATGGAGGTCGTGTCGCGGAACTGGTCTCCCTTGCTGGTTATCCGTCGCTTGTTCGACAATCGTTCCCATGCGCTGTCGAGCGCTGGCTTGACGAGGGTGACGGGGGCCGCTGCTGGACGAAGCGGTAGCCGAATAGGCGGTGCGCGACTCGCTGCTTTCGCGACCGATCAGGCTGCTGTCGGACGTGAGGCTGCTGTTCGAGGGCATGCTGCTCGAGGGCATGCTGCTCGAGGACTGGCCGTTGCTAGTCTCCATGGTACTCTGTTCGACCGGCTGAGTGCCGGAGTCGACGGTTGCGCTTGAGTCCACCGTGCTGGAGTTGAGAGACTGGCTGGTGCCGGACTCGAGGGTGTTCGATGACCCCATGGAGTTCGACTCCACGGCGTTTGACCCCATTGAGTTGGACCCCATCGAGTTGGAGGACTCCATCGAGTTGGAGTCCAGGGAGCTGGATTCCAAGGAGCTGGAGCCGAGCGAGTTGGATTCGTTATTGGTGGAATCGCTGGGCACGGAGGAGGTGGTGCCGACTCCGATAAGTTCGACGGTCTGACTGCTGTCGCTGAGGTAGGAGCTGTCCGTATGGTCGGAGTCTGACGGGCGGCGGTCCGTGCCGCGGTAGTCGGTACCACCGCGCTCTGTGGGGTAGTCGAAGGCGTAGTGCCTGAGGTGCCCGCCGTGTGGTGGTGGCCGGAGCGTGGCCGCATGGGTGCCGACGGTGAGCAGGTGCGGCGGCGTTCTATGATGGGTGCCGTCGATCTTGGCTCGGTGCTTGTAGTTCGGGTGTTCCCGACTTGAGTGGTCACGGTGCGTGTGGTCACGGTGCGTGTGGTCACGGTGCGTGTGGTCACGGTGGGTGTGGTCACGGTGGGTGTGGCCACGGTGGGTGTGAGTGATGTGTTCCACCCGTTTGGAATGTTCCCGTTTGGCGTGGTCACGGTGGGCGGAAGTGTGTGGAGTGCGAGTGAGGTGGCTTTGGAGCCACCAGATGAAGACGCAGGAGAGAGGGTCATTGCGCCAGGTTTGCAGTGCTTGCCAGAGTGCATGCCATTCCGACCGAAGATCTGCACGAACGGGGCTGAGCTCTGGTCCATGTTGGTTGAGACTGGTACGGCCAAAGACCTTGACGCCATCCCAACGGTGTGGCAGTTTGTTGTGAGCGGCCTCAAGTGCTCCGACCTTGGTGATGCAGAGAGGGAGTGCCCGCCAGAGAGGCTGTTGCGTGATGGCCCACCAAACGAGGCCGGGTGCTAGAAGCGAGAGTAGCATGCCAGTTAGTGGCAGCGTGCAGCTAAGGAGCAAGACTATGCGCAGAGCCGCCTCCGTTCCAGCGGCGAGAGTGAGAACCAGGGCGAGACTGACCAAGGGGAAATGTCGACGTGTCGTGGGCTCGTGACGTAACAAATGTTTCAGCATCCAGGTCGCCGTCGAGTCATGCGAAAAGGAGAAGCATACGTCCATCGGACTGCGTGACATAAAGTCACGCTGTAAGCCCGAATCGTAGCGCAATAACGTCGATATGCATTCCTTTTGATTACGCATCGCCGCCCAATGTAAAGGACTCCAACCCAACGCATCCAAGGGCTGACAATATAACTGGCCACGGTCACGCATATACCGCAATATCATCAACAATAACACAGTATTCCCACTCTCACACACCAAATGCAACGGTGTCAAGAAACCCCACCCGGGCAACAACGTCAATGCCACACACGTGTCCAAGGCACAACACACACACGCCCGCTCAATCTCCGTCAACCGACGCCGTGCCGCACCCTCATCCACGACCCGTTCCACCATTTTGTTGTGGTCATCCACCGTCTCATGATCCACCGTCTTATGATCCACCCACCCGCGGTTCAATTCCTCGTGGTGCAATTCTTCACGGTCCATTACCACACCGCACGGACCATCGCTGACCCGAATGTCGATCCGGGTGGTGTCGAAGCCCTGCTGATCCAACATAGACGCCATCTCCCGACACACCCGCATGAACCCGGGCGCGCTACCCCGCGTGGCGAGCACGTGCAGCACAGTGTTGCCATACACGTCAAGATGCAACACGGAGGACCCTTCCGCCTGCAGGAGCCGCAGAATACCGCACGATCCCGAACCAGTTGGGCTCATCCCGATGGTAATGCACGCTCGCGCAAATGGCGTGAACCCCACCCGGTCCACAGCCATCAAGTCAGCCCCATGTCGGATCAGCGTTTCCGCAATTTCCTCACTTAAATTTTCCGCTGCCGCGTGCAAACACGTTTTCAACTCGGCCTCGGCCTCTTGATACGAAGCCGAGGCCCCCTGCGCTAGCAGCTCCTGCACCTCGATATGGTCATTCGCCAAGCACGCCGCAAATAACCGTTGGTCTAGGTCCATATAAAGCGCCTAATCCAGCTGTCCTCAACCACAGCACTTAGGCTCGTCTGCCTGTCNGTCAATTAATGAAAGGCCCGTTCGCTGCTTTGCAAACGCGTGTGCAGTTGGGTGACAAGCAGGTAATAAGCAAACAAAACACGCGTGTGTGTTCAATGAATAAGCCGTTAATAGCCACTAAAAAGGAAGCAACCTGTCACTGGTGTGAAAGGCTGAATCAAGAGCGGTGCTGAGGAGTGGGGCTGAAGACCCGAGCTGAATGAAGAGCAGAGTTGATCTATTTTTGGAGCAAAATCGACTTAACCAGGCTCTTGGCCTTCTTCCTGCCTGATCCGTCCGAGGTGACGGCGGTGGATCCATCAGCGTGCATGGCTCGATCGTGGATGCCGCCAGCGACCACAGTACCTACTTCGAAGAAGCCGGACTCCGCATTTGCCAAATCAAGCTGTCGCTTGGACCCCCTGTAGTGGGTATGGATCGGATCAACGAACCCTCGAAGGCTGAGAGCCTGGAGCTCTTGCCTCATTTCCGGGGTGATAGTCTGCCGCTTCATACCGTAGAAGGCATCTAGTTCGTTTTGGCGCCGCTCTTTCTCAAACTTCCGCCGCTCTTGGAGGTCGTTCATGCTGTGCTTCTGTGTGGAGTCCCGTTCAATAAGTGCCCGGATCATGGGTGCGACCCGGCTCGGCTTGACCGCAGCGTCTCTCTTCGTCGACACGTCCGTGTAAGAATAAAACTTCTTCTTTCCCGAAGCGCTCGTCGGCGCGTCGGCTGAAGTCTGCAACACACTCAGACCAGCTGTCTGATCCAGTAAAGCGTCCAAGTCCTTCTGAGAGTCCACTGCAACATTGCTTGCAAACGTCGCGACCTCCTCCGATTCCGATTCCGATTCACAAGAACTCTTTTCCAAAGCTGTGTCAAATATAGATTTATCGCCCTCAACGTCGACCTCGAAGCCAGAAATGTCCGACCACGCATCATCTTCCGCGTCCTCTCCCGCACCATTCCCGTCCTCTCCCGCAGCAATCCCGTCATTCCCGTCATTCACCGTCTCATCTCCTCCTTTGTCGTCCTGGTCTATGTCGTCCTGGTCTATGTCGTCCTGGTCTATGTCGTCCTGGTCTTTACGCTTTTTATCCTTTTGGTCTTCCACTTTCTTCCCGTCTTTTTTCTTCTTGTGGTTTTTGTTGGCATCCTCTTTCTTGAGGGCGGTGAGGTTGATACCGAGGACCCTTGCCTGCAAACTGGCCGCCTCTGGCATCGAGTTGGGATTGAGGACCATGGGCGTCAAAGTCGAGATGCCCGGAATGGCCTCCACGTTCATGTACGGCCCGGCCGTGGGCGGGTGCGCTGGCACCAGATACCCCGCCGTGCGCCAGTCCAGTAAGGTGTGCACAGGCGGCACAACTCGGTCACCACCCAACTTCTCACGCAACCAACTTGTCACCGCCTTGACCGGTAAAGGCGCCGTCGTGTCCATCCCCTGCTCCTCTTTATAATCAGCTATCACTCGCGCCACAACCTCCTCCAGATGCGCCGGCGCTAACCACTCCGACAAGGGCAGTTCATCCGCCGTGTACATACTTTTTATTTCCCCGCCCGCCTACTGTGGACCCACTCGCAGCCAGACCCATTTGCAACCAGACCCACTCGTAACCAGACTCACTTGCAATCAGACCCACTAGCGACTTACTCCAGCCACCAATTGTTTGCAGCCGGGTACCACTAACCAATTGTCTCTAAATCATGGTGATCTTAACATTATAATGATATAGTGAAAAATCTTACGACCAATCTTAACCTCACGGCGCAACCGCGTTCCCCGCCCTTTCTCTTCGCTGATGAGAGAAGGTCCCTTCGACGGTAGGAAGACGGTTTTCTATTCGGAAGAGGGGTCCTATTCGGAGGCACGCGAGGCCCGGCGATGGCTGACGAAGGACCCGAGGTTGCTCGCAAGGCCAATCATATCGCCAACCGCTGCCAGGCCACTTGGCGCGGCACCTTTCTTGGCGGCGGCGGCGGCGGCTCCGCCACCACCGCCGCCGTTGCCGCCAGCGAAGATTTGGGAGAGAACTTGGGCGGCTTGTGCACCTTTGACGAGACGTGTGGCAGATTCTTCCGTCTGGTCGAGTTTCTTTTTGGCTTGTTCGGTAGCGGCGATGCTGTACTCCCAGCGCGCCGAGCCTTGCGGTGGCGTGTCGGGGTCTTCTGCATGGTCATGTACACATTCACAAAGTGCGTTATTCATAACTTTGCTGGGTACAGTGAGTATATTACGGTACATGGTCCAGTCGGTGGTATCAGTGATGCGAAGTCCACATCGGCCACGGTCCGTTTCGGCATTGTACACCGAGGTGACACAGAGTGCATCCTGTGTTGTTACATAGATAGACGCGCACTCCTCTGCCGTCTTGTAGCTGTTGAGATAGGGAGGGTGTTTCTGCCAGTCAGGCACAGCCGTCCGAGGCACGCAGCACGTCATACCTTCCGCGTGGCAAGACACTACGGGCTGACCACTGCCAGGTGGCGGAGGCACCTGTGTCTTATCCTTCGTCCGTGTTGCGAGACCACGGGTCATACCACGATTCCGCAAATACCCGTTCTCCGCTAAAGTCAGTCCCGCCTGTGCCAATTCCTTAAACGGAATCGCGCCCATGAACTGACTGCCTGTAGTCATCATGCTTGTGGCCGCAGTTAACAGTCCAGATGCACCCCCGCCGCCCAATAAACCTAACACACCTCCCAACCCTTCCTCCTTTCTCGACTCCTCTATTCCACGGTCGGAAGGAGTCGAGTCCTCCGACCCACTCTGCTGCCCAGACAATACTGGGCTGCTAACAGGACTATTGTCTAAAACGCCAGCACAACGCTTCGGGGCTGATATCGCCGCCTTCGTCCCCTGCAACCTCTCCGCATCTGTGTAATGATAACATAGCTGCTCATCGAACCGGAACGAACAATAACGACAACGCAAGTTCTGTTGACACAGACTCTGACAGTGCAAAATGTCCTTGCTCCGAACCACGATATCCTCAGGACCCACTACCACTGCATTCGGAATAAAACACTCCTGATATGCCTTCTGACTCGACGACAGATAACTCCCCTTGTCCTGCTGCCGTGGCTGCTTATGTCCTCCCCAGTCCTGACCTTCAACGTCCTGGTGGTAATCTTCGACGTCCTGGTCTTCATTGGGCCGGTCCATCAAACGCGACGCCGACAATGTTTCTTCTTCTTCGTGCAGCGCCTGACGAAGCAGCGACGATCCAGACGTTCTAGATGGCTCGACGGCCACCGTTCGGGATTCGACTTGCGGCCTCGATTGCGTCCTCTGTTCGGTAGTAGTGCGGTGCGATTCGCTTTGGTCAAATCTGCCGTAAAGCCCTCCCGGACGTCCCGGTAGACCCAGAACCTGGTTGAGCAAAGATGTGGTGGCCTGGAGCCGGCGTCTTGGAGGCAAGTCGCCGGCATCCGCGAACTGTCGTTGATCCCCACGCCGCTTCTGGGTAGCTACGCGATATTGGTTAGTCAAGACGTTGCCCACGAGCCCAAAACCGCCCCGGACAGCGTTGTTCAAACGTGGAAAGACCCCTGCGCCACCGTTGTCGATCTCAATGGTCTCTTGTTCAACCTCCTCTCCAGCCAACTCACTCAGATCAAAAGGACTATGGAAATTCACTCCTCGGATCAAATGAGTCACCGTCGATGCGCTCGGGGCAGCCGTAGTCGTCGAGGACGCGTCCTCTAACGCCGAGTTCGCCGTTACATTCGTCGGCGCAGAAAAGATCTCGCGCAATTGACTCGCAAACTGACTTAATACTGATGGATCCTCCACCCGATACTTCAGGCCGTCAAAAATAGTCCGCGCTTGACTTAGCAACCCCTCCGGCCGCAGAAACTCCGAATTCGAACCCAGGAAGCCACCATTACCTCCCAGGAAACCACCTCCACCGTTACCTCCCAGAAGCGCGCCGCCACTACCGCCCAGAAGCGGACCTCCCGATCCCATCAGTCCTCCAGATCCAGCTCCAAACACCAAACTGGACGCCGCATCTATGCAAACCCGGGTGCTAAACGTTCAATAAACTGCTTACTCTGTAATTGACTTAATATCGGCTGCAAGGGACCCTGCGCAGACGCATATAGAAGGAAAATCGGCGTCCGTATTATCATAAGAAGGGGCGCACACGCGTGTGCGAACGCTACTTTGTTGGCTATTGTAAAGGCTTTTAGCCATGCAAAGTCCGTCTTATCTCATGCAACCGAATTCTTCATACTTTGATGAGTGCAGCCAAAATGCACCATGGTTTTCTATCGCTCTAACGTTGACCGGAGACTAAACTACAAGGTTGTCCGGTCAGCCTGTAGCTGTCACTGCCAGTTGTGTCTTCACCCTTCGTCCGGGCCTCCGCACCCACCGTATGGTACCTTTATGTGCTTCCCGCAGCTGGATCGGAGTGGTGGGGTAGACGGCACGAGAGCCTGGTACGACGCGGCCGCCAACAAGCAGGAGTGGTTAGCTAGTCAGCAAGGGGAGGGGGGAGTAGGACCCTCGGCAGGACCCTCCCCAGGCCCCCACCCAGGACCTTACACCGGGGCGGCGCCAGCAGAAGGACCACCTTTGAGACTGGTCGTTGACGATCGCTTTGTCGACGCCAAATCGCGCGACACGTCCCTCTTCATTCCGAAACAAAGGACACCCGGCTTGTCTTGGCTGCCATTGCAAATTAACCGACGCGAGGACAGCTGGCGGTACTACGAAGCGGTACCCATCGGTGTGGTCCAATCCATTCCACCGATCTTCCACCAAGACTCCTCCGGTCCGACCTCCGCTTAATCCGGTCCGACCCCGGTCCTTGGGATTCCGACCTTTTGTCCGACCTTTTTCCAACCTTACCTCTTTGTATTATAGCTGTCTCCCTGTGGGGCGTATTGGGTCTGGGGGGTACTGTCCTGACCAGGCAGGTCCACTACCGACTGATTAGGTCAGCACCGACTAGGCTAGCACTAGACTAGACTTGACTAGAGGGCGACTCGGCGATCGCTGGATTGTTTAAGTACCTTGAGTCGGTCCTCCATCAATCGGATCTTACGTGTGTTCCACTCGGCTGTCGTACGCAGGTTGCGGTACATAGCTTCCACATCGCTCTCCAACTCACCCAGATACTGCACGTACGGCCGGTCGGCTAAGTAACGCGGCGCTGTGAGTCCGTCGCGCCGCATCAACTCGCTGCGCCAATAGCCGCGACTTGTCGGGTCGCCGATCTCATTGTGTGTCTGCTTCAACATCGTGTCCAGCCGGTCGCCGTTGCCTCGCGCCAGGTCATACAACTCCGCCATTACCCCGCTGATGTCGCGCTTCACCGTCGGCAATGTCGCCGTCTTCGTCAAACCCTCCGGCGCACCCGGTAACACGTACGCCGCCTCCTCCTTCTTCGCCTCACCCGTCCCCTCGTGCTTGCTTTCGCGGTGTTTGCTCTTGCTACCGCGGCTCTCACCGGCCGTACCACCGGCCGTACCACCGGCCGTACCCCCGGCCGTACTACCGGCCGTACCACCGGCCGTACCACCGGCCGTACCA